TTCTTTGTAGTAACCCTTCTCCATTTCTTTGTCTTTCCACATAAAGAACTTGCATTTTGGACCTTCAGCTGGCTGATTAAAAGGGAAAACCAGAGTTAGGGTTAGGGTTGTAATTAATGAAAATGTGTACATTCCCAGCTCAAAATAACAAATACGGTGTAAGTAAACAAAAGGAATACTAACCAAAGTGTTTTTGCAGTTCCAAAACCTGCCAGCTACATTATCGTCGGTCCATGCAGTCCTTTCCACGCTTATTGCGTCTTGACAATCACAAGGTGGACAGGGGTCATCATCACGAAGGTTTCCGACATGCAGGAGGTTGATCGATCGACTGGAAGAGGCAGACATTGTTCTGGTTATATCGATTGAGTGTAGAGTATCGGGAGGGAGGCACTGACCTAATTTGGGGTAATAAAGTATCGTCGATGGTTCAATATAAGGTTCAATTAAGGAAGGTTTCCACGTTAAAGAGGACATGGTCAAATGCTTGTCCACATAAGCCAATACACGTCAGCGATGACCCTTAAACCGGTAACATTTTCTCTCATTCCTTTAATTAGCCGGTATTTACTAACATTAAGGATCAATTGAGCACAAAAAAACTTTAGTGACTAAATGTGCAAATTGACCAAACATTGATGTGCTACAGTGTCAAAAACCCTTAAATTCCCTTTACTATGACTATCCAGCGACATAAATGAAGTGTATTACACCTTATCAACTAATAATCTAAGATATAAAGCCTCAATTACCTGAACTTTCTGTTAATGTACCTCCATACCTTCCAAAAAAACTGCAAAGATAGCTTTTATGTAGCGTCTCCACTTGTGAAATTGATAAACATGGAAGAGAGTAGTTCTAAAACAAGTCTTGAACTGACATGAAATAGAGGGCTTTATGAGTTTTAGGCCATGTGAAGAGCGAACTCCATAACTCCTAAATAAATGAACAAAACGCAAATAAATATTGAAACACGGACTCATCAGACACATTGCAAATCAGACACACTACAAATCTGACAATAAATCGTAGTAAGAGTGACACATCTCTTATGAAGATTGAGGCACGTTGGCAATCTATCTAACCACACATGCCGCATAAAAATGTTAATCTTACGAGGAACCAACCTGTTTTATTTCCACGGACTACCCGTATGAGAAAAAAACCACACTATTAAACTAATTTCCTAGAGACGAAAAACAAAAGGTATTAGTTTTGTTAAGTTGTGTAGCGTATTCAGCGCCTTAACCTCATTGTCATTACGGTGTTTTGCAGTGGCAATTGTGTTGCTCAAGCAAGGTCAACAGTGCTCGATAGAAAGGTCCGCAGATCTGGAGGGTTGTTCAGATGTAAACATCTTGAGCTTGTGTGCCCTGCCCACAAATAGTCATATGTCAACCTTTTTCTTTATAAATAGACTTTTTTGTACCCCTGTAGCTGTAAGTAGAAAGCGTGTGTATGAGGATCAATATTTCTACGTATAATATATCTAGCTAGTTCGCCCGTAAATTAGCACGATCACTCTGATTATGTTTAACACATTAATTCTTCGTGTTTCTAAATTTTACTTCGCATCGTTATTGTCATGTGTTTAACGATTCTTTATCCTAATACCATTCAAGGCCAAATTCCATTTAAGAATATGGTCCATTCAAAGGAGAAGGTAGCAGTACCAATGCACTCTGATTTTGATCTAAATACACTATTTAAGAAATGTAACAAAGGTAACTATGCTCACCTATTTGAAATAATTTCATGCAAATCAAGCACAAAAACAGATACTTAGCTAGATGTGGACGAACTCTCAATTTATTTGAAAACTTTAATATTTTAAAATGGTAGCAAGAAAGAGAAAATATTGGTTAATATAAAAGAGAAATCCCCAAAAAAGACCCAACATTTTGGGAAAATTTTTAATAAAGTCCTAAATTTAATTTTTTGAACAGAAAAGTCTAGACTTTTTAACTTTTAGAATAGAAAAACCCAAGAAACCGGCTAATTTATTCACTTTAACCATTTTTGACATGTTCAGTAGGTCATGTGACCAAATCGTTAATTTTTCCAAAATAATGAGAATTTTCTACAGATTCCATCAAAACTCGTATATAATATATAAACATATTTTTTACGTATTTAAATCTATTTTTACATATTTATGCATCTTTTTAAGTTTTTATATGTATATGTTTATGTATTTTAAATGTATAAACATATTTTTTTATGTATTTTTATGTAACTTTAACAATTTTTCATATATTTTATGTATTTTTATGTGTTATTTTTTATGTATTATGTATTTATATGTATTTTTACGTATTTATGAATTTTTAAGTTTTTTATATGGATGTTTATGTATTTTAAATGTATAAAAGTATTTTTTTAAAGTATTATATGTATTTTTTTAAAGTATTTTACATATTTAAAATGTTTTTTATGTATTACGTATTTATATGCATTTTTATGTATTTATGTATTTTTTAACTTTTTTATATACATTTTACAGTATTTTAAATTTATAAACATATAGTACTTTTTTACATATTTAGATGTATTTTTAAGTATTTTACATATATTGTTTTTATTTTTATATGTTTTTTATGTATTACGTATTTATATGTATTTTTACGTATTTATGTATTTTTTTAAGTTTTTTATATAAATGTTTATTTATTTTTATGTATTTTATATGTATAACCGTATTATTTTTAAGTATTTATGTATTTTTTATTTCAAGTGTTCTTCAATATTTCATCTAATTCACACAGCTTCTTCGAATATGTCTAGATGGTTTTCCTATATACCCACATGATTTAAGTTTTTCCTATTCGATGTTTAATTTTAAGATAAGTGAATAGGACAAACTTAAACTATGTAGGTATGTGAGAAACTATGTATACATACTCGAAAAAGTTGTACGACTTGGATAAAATGGTTTACATGACCTGAAATAAAAAAAAAAATACTTAAATACGTAAAAGAATACAACTATACATTTAAAATACATAAAATACAGAAACATCTATATAAAAAACTTTTAAAAAATACATAAATACGTAAAAATACATATAAATATGTAATACATAAAAAACTTTAAAAAATACATAAATTAGTAATACATAAAAAAATAACACATAAAAATAAATGAAAATGTGTAAAGTATTTAAAAATACATATAAATACGTATATATTTAAAATACATAAAAAAATATAAACATATACATATAAAAACTTAAAAAAATAAATAATACATAAAAATATATATATAAATACATAATACATAAAAAAGAACACATAAAATACAATTAAAATGTATAAAATACTTATTTATATATATATATATATATATATATATATATATATATATATATATATATATATATAAACACGTAAAAAATTATATATTTAAATATCTAAAATACTTAAAAATACATAAACATATACATATAAAAACTTTATATATATATATATATATATATATATATATACACACGTTAAAAATACGTTTATACATTATATACAAGTTTTGACGAAATTTTCAGAAAAATCCTATTATTTTGGAATAATTAACGATTTTGTCTGATGACCTGCTGAACAAGTCAAAAATAACTAAACTGAATAAGTTAGTCGGTTTCTTAAGCTTTTCTATTCAAAAGGTTACAAAGTCGGGACTTTTCTGTTCAAAAAAATAAAATTTAAGACTTTATTTAAAATATTTCCAAAATATTTGGACATTTCTAAAGATTTCCCAAATATAAAATCTTACTACAATGGGTAGGTATGTACTACATTTCCATGTGAGTACCATAGCTTCGGGATGTTGTTTGTCTCTTAGTAGCGAGATATTAAGTGTAAAAAAGTGTATGTTGAAGTATGAAACGGTGCAAATGTACGTAACACTTAACTACTATTATGATTCGATGGAGAGAACATAAAACCACACAAACTTGAAGAAGGCTTAAGCCACATGGAACATGAGATTTCGGAAGACAAAATGGAAATAAAGTTAATTAGCAGACATGTCATCGTATACTAACACCGATGTTGTAGAAACATGTAAAAGCTTCATTGTCGACACTGTAGAAGGAAATGAAGATTATGCAAGCATATCATCCAACACCACCCCAAACCAAATTTTAGTCTAGAGAGAAACCGGGTCGAAAAAAAAGACAAAACAGAAAAATTACCATCCAATACCAGTTTGCCAAAGACCGAAAAACAGAGTATTCTAAAATGGTTCATCAAAGACTAAAAAAAACATAATATCATAAACCGATTCAAGACTACAGTCAGACATATAGTGTTCAACTATAAAAACTATGTGTGAAAGTGATTCACATATCTAAAAGAGGTTCAAACATTTTTTATTAAAAAAAAGATGCAGGTGCACATGTTGGAATTAATATATATATATATATATATATATATATATATATATATATATATATATATATTTTCTTGTACCTCATGTAGAAGATGTGCTTTCTCATTGTTATGTCGTCGTCCTCATGGGGCGTTGAGGGGTAAAGTGGGAACTACATAGAAACCAGTTTTTTTATTATATATTATATATACATATTTATTTAAAAATAAAAATAATATAATAACAATAACAACTTTTCTTTCTATTGGTCCCAAACATTTGAAAATATATTTACAGCCGTCTTTGTAAATCTATCAAACTAAATATTAAACAAATACTTCATCCGTCTCAAATTAATAGTTCATGTATCCTTTTTGGTTTGTATCAAAATAATTGTCCACTTCTAAAAATAAATATCATTTTTACCAAAATACCCTTCATTATTAGTTAAACTACAATGGAATTAAATGCAACTACATAGAATTAAATGCAACAAAAGAATATAATTGTCATTTCGTTTAATAAAGTTAATGGTAATTAATGTTTTCTTAATCTGTGTGTTTTTTGTCTGTGGACTATAATTTTGAGACGGAAGGAGTATATGAAACCTTCAATGCCTTTAAATACATAGCAATAACTCCTGTAATAAATGCTCTTGTTCTCTTGAAAGAAGACAGGCAGTAACTCTGAGCTTTTTCTTTTTCAACAAAAAAAAAATGGAAGAGGGAAGAGTTGGTTTCATACAAGAAGCTTTGAGAGGTTTTCTCAAGTGTTTAGGGTTAGATAGTACCGGAGGAGGAAAAGACACTCCTCCCGTTGAAGGAGAGGTTGTGAATAACCCTCCACCACCACTTAATCCGACACCACAAACCACTTATGAACCCATACCCTCTGTAGATGATCCGTTTACCACCGATCCACTGGTTGGAGCTCTGACGTCATCTGTAAGTAACTTCCAAATAAGTTTATCTGCAGCTATAATTACGCTCTCAAACGCTTCTCTTGCATATATATATTATGTTCCCTTCATTAAATTAACTGAAGATTCCAGTGGTTTTGTTTTCAGTATAGAAGTACTTAAGCCGAACCTCGTTTTAACGTTCTAAGACTAAGAAAATTAGATCATGTTACACCTAATCCGTATACGAATTGAACGTAAAATTGACTACCAAACTAGTTGGCATATAAAGTATTTTATATAAACCCGCCGCCACACATAGAACTATATTAAAAAGTCGACCCTTTATATCTAATTTGGGATGTTCAAGAATATTCATCCATTATGTTCTTTTATTTACCATTTTTGCAGTTTTAATTTTCTTTTAGTACTTTTCTATTGAGTGAGCTCATTATGCTCACGGTTGTATTTGTTATATGTTGTTGACATCTTATGACAAACGTATTGAATTTGTTGTGAAAATAAGGTGGTCATCTAGATCTAGAGACATGGTGGATAATTAATTGAATTATAATTTGTTGTCTATTAAATAACATTTCAATCTGGCATCTTAATTAAAATTTGTTGTTATGTTAATACATTAATTATGTGTAATTGCCATCAGATTGAGAAGCCTGTAGTATCAACAAGGGATATTGGTGGTGATGAGAGTAATTTCAGTATGGTTACTATAGATGAAATTATGAACACAAGCGGTGGCACAACCGCTGAAGCACATTATGTTGAGCTACTGGACAATGGTACAAACAATATGAGCCTCCTTACTACTCGTCTAATTAGCAGCGGGGGTGGTGGAAAAAGTCATTGAAGCATCAAAAAAAAAAAAAACGATGGTGATCACATGCAGTGGTGATGGTAAGACCAATATATATGGCCACTAATAAATTACAGTACGTTTGTTGGTCTTGTGATCATCAGTCATTTCACATCATCACATGTTTAATGTATATGTCTGTCCAAGTTATATAATATGGTCTCTTTTTCGTATGTGTGGTTTGGTACTATTCATGTCTTTATATTCTGGTTTGTACAATTTGGTAGCTAATGTACATTTAATATTCTGAATATTGATTTTGTAGATATCCAAATAAAAGATAATAAACTGGTGATGCATGATAGTGTGGTTACATATTATTTGCTTGATAGTTGATATATACATTTTCATCGAAAATGGCATATATATATATATATATATATATATATATATATATATATATATATATATATATATATATATATATATATATATATATCAAAAGTTAGAATATTCTGAGGCCATATGAATAATTATACACCAGAAACTAAACACTGGGAAAGAAAACTACTAAGCAGATAAACACAATCAAACCCTGAAACTAATACAAGATGAAACAACTGAAATGAAATCGCTACTACAAATTAAGGAACCAATAGACCCAAGTTTTGTAATGGATAAAAGTTATAACCCAGTATTAGCTTATTGCAACCGTGCCTATGCAGGAGAATCCCATATGCTAGAGTTGTTGTTTATAAGGCTGGGGGAGTGGTACGTGTTGCTCTTGTCGAGCTCCACCTCAGCTCCAACAAAGATGATGTTGTTGCTGGACCAATTTGGAGAGAGAGAGAGAGAGAGAGAGAGAGAGAGAGAGAGAGAGAGAGAGAGAGAGAGAGAGAGAGAGAGAGAGAGAGAGAGAGAGAGAGAGAGAGAGAGAGAGAGAGAGAGAGAGAGAGACTCGGCGTCTGCCGAGTTGGGATGCAATTAAAGCTCGGCATGAGGTGGGCTGGTGTTTGCCGAGCCACGTCAACATTGCAGAAGAGGGTGCCGAACCCATTGTCTACTGAAATTTTGCTGTTAAAATAGAGAGAGAGAAAGTCTAAAAACACTTATTATATGCAATTATTACATTGGAAAAATAAAATCCGATCATATTAAGCAGCGGGTCCATCTCTTCTATGCAAGAAGATTTTGTTTAGTAAAATAGGAAAACAGAGTTTGTTCTCTTGGCATTAGAGACAGACTCACTTAGACTTACTGTACCGGGAAGGCATGAACAACTACAAGATTTCGTCCAAAAAGTATAAAAATTTGTAAATTCGTCACAAAAGTTGTTGGAAATCAGTCAAAAATCCATCAGAAATCCTTCACGAATCCGTTGAAAATTCATCACAAAATATAATTGTGATCCGTCGGTAACCCTTTAGTGACGGATTTTGTAACAGAAACTACCGTGGGAATTGAGGCTTTTTTTTTTCTTCTATTAATGCAACTCCTAAATTTTTTTCTTTCTTAATTCACCACTGCTTCTTGCTTCTTGGCATGCAACCGTGTCTAATGAGTATTTATTTTAAGGGTTTGGCAATAAATCTTCACTATTGTTCATGAGTTCATGTGTGTCAAGTGCTTTCTTCCGTCCCAAAATTATTGTCCACGTTTGACTTTTGAAACTTTGATCATTATTTGTGTTATATAATTTTTAATGAAACTTATACAATGAAAATACATTTAAAAAACAATCTATTAATATATCTTGCATAAAAAATTATATAACAAAAAATAAATTATTTAAGGTTAAAGTTGAAAAAAGATATTTAAAAAGTCAAACATCGACAATAATTTTGCGACGGAGGGAGTAATTTTGGGACAGAGGGAGTAATTTTTTCCCCGAAGGTTCATGATCATTCAAAATTTCATCACACTCATATGATTTGCTACAACAGTTTTCTAGGTTTCTTCCTCTTCTTCTTCTAATTTGCTTTAAGTTTTAATTTTATACAAGATTGGTCCAAGTTGTTAATTAGTAGAACTTCTCTCAATGTGTGGATTAGAAGTTAGAACCCGTACCTCCAATTTAAGAAATTATTTTTTATAGTTTGACTTTCATAAAGTAAAGTGTTGGTGGTTCTTGATGACTATAACACTTTAGATTTTCAGTGTTGTTCTCAAGCATTGATGTCCACGACCAGACCACCACCAACCCATATTGAATACTCTATTCTTGTCTTTTATGAGCATTAATGCGTAATAACAACAACCCCACATATTAAGTGCCTTTACGGTTTATACGCTTCAGATTCTTAGATAAAAATCGGTAGATTCGAGTCTCGATCAATCACTTCTTTTTAGCATCTAAAATGGAGGATGAGTTTGTGTATTGCATGCATATACAACAAGCTTTGAGGTCGATATTGAGATGTTTGGGGTTAGAAAATTGGAGAAATATAAAAACATATGTTCCTGATGGTGATAACGAAGAAAACGAGGCTAATCCACCACTATCATCATCGCTGCCACTATCGACATCTACTAGCCATAATACTCATACAATAACATTTGTAAGTGCTAGATTAAACTTATGCAAGCAAAAACCATTCTTTGTCAAAACACAAAACCATAAAATAATATATTATATGGCCATTGTTTATTGTACTTTTTACTCTGTCTCTCACATTTTTATGCATCTCTTAATTTGCTTTAATGAATGTATGACCAGGTTATATTTAAATTTTGTCTAGTTCTATTCTTAAGCTTCCAATGGTTTATTTTTTATTTGTTTCTATTACAAGATTCAATTTTTTAAAATGTTTAAAATCATACTTTCTGATCTACTTTTAAAACATTGACAGGTAAGTTAATTTCAATAATTTTATAGTACAAAAATGACCAGCAATATACACATGCGAAAGTTGAGGTGTTTACTAATTTAATGTCAAGAAATAATTTATCCTGTCTTTATACCTTTTAATGTAACACGTACATTTTTGTTAGGACTTTTGATACAGATGTTTCATGTTCAAAAGTCGGTACTGAATGTTGGTGTGTATGAGTGACTTTGTTTAATTTATTCATATATATACTGTCATGGTTCTGGGAAAAAATTAACTTCTTTTTGGTTTAATACGTATATGGGTAACAAATTAGTGGAGAATTTTGCATTATATCATTTAGGCTTTAAATGTATCTATATTTTAATTAAATACTATATAGATAGGATAAATTATTTCTTGACATTAAATTAATTGAGATTTTTTGCAGTATAGCAACAACCTTTAGCTTGACGGTATGATGACATGTCCTCCCGAGATTGAAATGAGATTGAAGGTTTAAGTATCATGTGAAAAGCATGTGCAATTAATGAGTAGTTTTAGGAGACACCCCACCCAACCCTCTATGAACATCATTAATATTATGTACCAACTTTACCCAAAGCATTTCCTCCTCATAACAAGCAGTGTCATGTTAAAAGCTTTTAGACTCTCTATACCCAAACCACATTTTCCCTTGGAATTTAACACCAAATTCCATTTAATCCAAACAATCTTTCTATACGAGTCACTCCTACCCTAAAAATAAAAACGCAATCGCAAAGACTCTAAAGCACTAATCACAAATCACATACTCTGACACTTTGAACACAAACATATATAGTAAATACCAAGACTCTTAAGAACATATTTAATCAACGTCAACCTTTCTCCTACAGAAAACAAATTCACTTTCCAATTTGCCAAGCGCTTTTCAAACTTGTGAACCACCATATTCAAATTAACAACATAATTCATATTTGCACCAACAGGTAATTGCCACCGACGATTTACAACCATTGCATAACCTATTTCTCTCAGCATTATGTGTGCTGCCCTCGTACTGCACCATCGACCACCATCTAGTTGTTGACTTTTCGTGAAGTCATTATTATGACATTGTTGTCGTTGCCTGCAACAACACCAACATATATCTATTTCACTATTGCACCATGTCTTCTTTTATCGCTAATCTATTTTGGTTTCCGGTAACTGTGTCAACCTCTCATGTTACTGCCACCGCTCACTTTCTATCGTCAATCAAGCATCGTGCTGTGAACTATTCTGAACAAACCTTTCGACGACACCTTTTACTTTTACGAGCCTTAAAATGTTGTTATGACTATATGTAACTCTTATTGTTGTTTTATGTTTTGTTTTATCTATTTAATTCAAAAGAAATACAAACACATGATATCACAACATCAACAGCCCTTATTTATTAAGAACCAGAAGGTTTTCTCAATACTTACATATAGAAACCTCACTACAAAATACTCTCTTCTCTTTACAAAGAATCCTCACTACAAAACTCTCACCTAATCTACACTCGATTACACAAGACTAAGAACAGATGTTAAACTCTAAGAACAAACCCTAGAGACGAAAGAGATGAAAAGAGTAGAAGACTGATCTGTGTGTTACAATACTATGCTATCATCCATTCCTCACGTATTCAATCAATATATACCTCTGACCAGTCAACCAGGTCACTGATCTATGATATGGATCAGATATGACCCGCGTGTTTTACATCTTAACCATATCATATACACAATATACCCTTCTATATAAAATCATAACAAGACAAACTAAAAATAAGAATATTAAAAGGATACATAAAAGGATATAATGAATTATAAGTTTGTATTGCAATAACCAGATAATTCAACACCCCTCCTCAAACTTATAATTCAATCAACTCAACACTTATTCTGAAAAGGATCAACAAGGCCTAAACCTTTGCAAATCCATTCATGTTGACCAACCCCTAAAGGTTTAGTAAAAATGTATGCCAGATTAAATTCCGAACCTACTTTATGAACTTCAAAAATCCCTTTCGACACTCTATCTCTTATAAAATGAGTGTCAACATCAAAATGTTTCGTTTTCTCATGAAATACTGGATTATGAACCAGTTTTATTGCTGACTCATTATCACAGAAAATAGAAACAGGTGTTAAATCTTTCAAACCAACATCAAACAAAACTTTTAAAATCCACATTATTTCACAGGAACTAACACCAAGTGCCCTATATTCTGATTCTGTAGAGGATCGAGAAACAATATCCTGTTTCTTACTTTTCCAAGACACAATAGTATTACCAAGAAAAACAACATACCCTATTACTGATCTTCTAGACACTAAACATTTAGCCCAATCAGCATCAACAAAGCTTTTTAAATTCAGATTACTCTTTGTAATAGAAAAACCCCTTCCAGGATTTAACTTCAAATATCTAAGTAATCTTATAGCAATATTAAAATGAGACTTTCTTGGTGAATGCATAAATTGACTTAATACTTGAACAACATATGAAATATCTGGTCG